ATATCGTAAATTTGTATTCGGAAAGAGTAAACCAGTTTTATTTAAGAAAGGACTTGTGTCGCTAAAGTTTCGTCGGAACGAATTTACGGAAAATTAATTAGCGAACGGAGACGTAACAATATGTTAAACCCCATAGATATGATTCAAGTTTTATTTTGTTTTCATCAAATTAACCCCACTTCTGTCACCAATGCTGAGTTGGCCCTTTTAAATTATTTAGCGAAGATAAGGCCAAGTTTATTTTTTCCCTAACCTATAGGCTATTATAATTTGTACACGTTTGTAGGTCTAAGTTCACTAGTAATGTTTTCACTTTCAACAGATGTTTACTCTCTAACGGTACTACAACTAACATACAAACAAATGGGTGATGAGTAACTGAATATACATGATAATGAACAATTATCCTAATACTTCACTGAATGACTGGCATTCCGTGAACTGAGAAACTGACTTAATACTTCACAATTTCTCTTATCTATAATATAGCCTTGCTTATAGACACTTCACGAGGTCTCTCGATCACTTATATTCATGAACATTCTAGTTATTGTAGGACTACTTTTATAAAGTTGCTTTATCTTAACATCATGTGCCCTCTAGCTAACATCTAAATAAAAACTTTTAAAATACAGTTTACAACAATATATGTAATGAACAGATCAACTTTTTTACTAAACCTTGGCGCAAGTTGACGTATACCCATAAATCGAAATGCATACATAGAACTGCACCTGATTGCAAGTGAAAATTTATCCATGGAGAAAAAAAAGTGAAAAAGGAGGAAAAACCGAAAAGCATAAGAATTTTAAAATTTCAAGATACAAAGAAAGATGACAATTTTTTATTCTAAGTGGGAATATATCTATGGGAAGGAAAAGCAAAAAAGAAGAAAAAACACACGAAAAGTATACGATTTTTAAAGATCAAAATACACAGAAAGCTGTCAATTTTTTTATCATTTTTTGTTTTTAAGTTTAATAAGTCGTTGATTATTTGCAATACCTGCAAGTTGTTTCATGAGCAGAATTTAGTCTGCATTCAATATGTAATGTATATTGTTGCGTCAGCGAGGTCACATGATTAGTGTCACGCCACGTTTCTAGAACTGTCCTGTACCTTGGCGAATGCTCTAGCATTTACTAGATATAGGGTAGTCTGGTATATAAAAGAAGGTGACAAC